TTTGCAAGGTTCCATCTGATCGCCTCTTGATTTTTATATCTAAAGAATTCAGACAACTGTCCTTTTCGCAAAACATCTCATGACAACTGGACACATCGTTGACCCACAATTGTCGTTCAAGCCATTATTACGTAACTTGAACCCCAGGATTTTGGTGTTTAGCGAGGCGATGCTAATCAAGTTACGTAACCCAATATTGTGTGCACAAAAGTATCTTACTCAATCAGTTAGACTGCCATGGACCTGATTTCCCAACCCACCCCCTCCCCTGCTTCCCTAACTATTGTTCGTTTCACCACTGTAGTTATCAAATCTTGCTTCTATAAATACCGGATTGTTTTACGTTGTAGCGACTGAAGAGATTAAAAGAAATGTTAACATCTCGCAGTATTTGTCTTCTTTCGGTTATAACGAATTCGTGATTAGTTAATTATGCAACAGTACACGTAGATATCTCAGCCTTGTGTTCTGACGCGAATTCGGAGTTCGGTATCTGTGAGTCACTCTGTCATCGGACGTCAATCCCTTCATCCAGCCTGGAGAATGTGAGATCTGGTGTATGTTTCAGGCCATTTACTTCCTTATGGTTTTGGCAGCAAGATTGCCGAATCACTGCCACCAGGTACCAATGAGTAGTATCCACAATTTGCGAGTGGAACAATTTGGCATTTTATGTTGGTGTAGGCGAAAGATCCTCCAGTTAATCATACGAATTTCCGAATCAAACTTCAGTCGGGAGACTATTACCGTTTCTTGGTGAAATAAAAAAGTCATCCTCAGTAATGTAGAACGTCTTTTTATGTTCGTATACATTTGGTGGCTTTGAGATTGCATATCTTTTCAGACTGTTGTGTAGGAGACAGATGAAGGTTTTCGTGGTATTGTATCAAGAACTGTTTCGACTCGCCTTTCTTTTGTATTTTGAAGAGTTTCTGTTGAGCCGTTTTCGAATTTAATTTGGCACATAAAATTGAGGTCACACGGAAGAGCAACTTATCATTGTTGTGTTACAATTAACTTGTTCATCAAAGTGAGTGAAATCTCTATCTCTGGGTTGTTGTAATTCGTATTAGATTAGCTGTATTCTCTTCTAAATTCTTCTTCATAAGCAATCTCGAGAAGTGACCTGGAAATTTTCCAAAGTGCACAAAGTTCTTGTGAAACTGAACACAAGTTCCTTTATTATTGATTTCACAGCTCAGTGTGTGAGCAAACGATGCAGCCCTCAAACGATGGAAGCGAGGAAATGCGATTTGGAAACGCTTTATTCTTTCTGAAGTGTACAATGTTTAGAAAGTTGGTGGTTCCTTAAATTAATCATTTTGTTATTGTTAAAACACATGTCATCGAGACCAGCTTACATGCTTTTTAAGTGGCGTATAGGAGACTGAATCATTAATAATTCGTACAAAGTACGCAAGCATTGATTGCTTTTATGTCTGGGTTCGAATTCCACCTAAACGTTCTCTGTTATCACGAGTCGATGGAGTGAATTTACGGTGAGTCTAAAAAACACAGGTCACTGTAACATATAGAACAAAATATGTGTTATCAGATTCTTTATGCTCATGCGGAGCATGCTACATCTATTGATTCACAATTATTAGCGTCTGCGATCAATCAGAACAGACACTGAATGCCACCTTTTGCCTCTATCAATGGCATACTGTGCTCACAAATTCACACCCAGTTGCCGTTGGTGACGTATACTAGCTGAGAATGTTGGCTACTGCTTTCCTACAAAACCATTTAATTGTAGTTCAAGTTCAATAGACAACCGGATTCCTTGTGCTTAGTCTAAGCAGTTGAATCGTTTCCAGTCACCGTTAACTAGACTCGCCTGTGAATAGTGCACGATCGCGTGCAAACGGATTTAGGTTTTTGTCACACCCACACACACCCACACACACACACACACCAAAACTGCAATCGATTTACGTGCTGCACTTACACTGATTTCCGTTTGCGCCAAAAAAACTGTCCTTGGTCTTGTTGAATTCGCTAGTTGTTTACTCTTGACAGAGTGTGCCAGCATTATGCTCACAACGAGATATTCAGATTTCTTAATTCTGCTGCAAATCACCTCCGGCTGGTTTTCACTGACAAATGTGAACAAAGGCAAAAAAACAAGAAAATATGCTAAATGAAAAAAATAGTTCTCACAAAATCTCTCAGACATTTAAAAGAAATAGAAAATGAGTACATAGTCCGTTAAATGTTCTAAAAATGTCTTTATCTCTCTTTTTATCTATATGTTTACTGCATTCAAAATGCAGAGACAATGAGCAAATGTTTTAACACATATTGTTAACATTATTTGAAAGTTATATACATCAACAAATTGTTTTTTTACGCCTAAAACACAGTGTTTATACGAAAATGAACCAACTGTATGAATCGATCACCAGCATCGTCCTTAAGCACGTTGAACTGAACAACTCTTCAATGTTCCCTTTTTAGAACAATTTTATGTAACCCAAAGATCAACTGTAATCTCAATAAAATAAATGAATGAATAAAATGAAAATCACCTTGATGTCACGTTACTTGAATGGTGGAATATATCCAGGGTCGATCGGAGACCTCAGTTGGTCCCCTCCAATTACAGTCGTGGTATTTTTAGTTTCTGTTCCGTTTTTGATCTAACAAACGAAACTGACCCATCACTTTATCCGGGAAAAAAAGTTGAAAGTGCAGAATATAAAATGTTACATTCACACAAACTGAAATACAAGCTCATATTACCAAGTGATTTTTATTCGGGGAACGTTTACGCCGAATCCGATTTAAATTACTTGTTTTATCTGCTACAGATGATGAGCGTTTGAAAACAGGCAGTGGACGTCTGGCCAGAACCACTTGTTCACAAAACGTTTTGGCACAATGAGTGCCAAATAAAATTTCGCAAAAATCACTTTTATTCAGATGCTTAATTTATCAAACTGGCGCCTATTTTTATATTATATCCAGCTAAACAGTTTGATAAACCCCCTGGATGCTTCAACCGATGGCGCCTAAAGGCCTGTTAGCAGCAAATTCACAACCTTTTCCCATATGCAAATTCTATCTCGCTCGGTGTACGGGGAACGACCTGCTCATGTTACGAGCGCGGACTTTGTGC